AGTAATTTACCTGATCAGACAAAGCTGATGCAAATATATTTGCATAATTACCACTTGGCTCTTGACGACTGCGTAGATAATCGACACATCCATCTAGTGTTGCATTTATAGTTGCATCATTCACAAACTGTGCCATATGCGACATACACGTCAAAGCCATGGCGGCCATTGCTGTTGTATCTGCAGAAAATAACAATTCATATAATATTTTTAATGTTTTTAAAATATATAATGTCGGGTAAAAATTGTTACATACATGGACTGTTACGTTCATTCCAGGAAAGTGGAGATCGACGAAGAACATCTAGAAATGGTTTTTTTGTGAATAATCTAACCATTTAAATATATTATAGCAATATTGTTATTAGTAATAACATCTTACCTACGTCACCATAGAAATAGCTGCCGTCATCATCCTGTAGTCCTTTAAACATATTAACAAAGGAACTGTCGATATACGACTCGGCATTGCAAAGAGCCAACAGTGCTAGGCTGTATTGAAATGGATTGCTGAAGCTCTCAACTGGGAAATTGTGCATTTTCTGTTTCAGAAGTTGAAGTAAATCATGACCGTAAAAATCGGAGACATCGTGGCAGGTGGAATAAAGAGCCAGAACGTAGTAGGCAAGATTTCCAGCCGGCAGATCGGTGGATTGTTCGGCACCGCTCGTACTATTGTACCTGGAAGACAATTGGTACTTTCACTTTAGGATCTACTACTTATGTTGTGTTTTTTATAGCTTTCCGTGCAATAGATTTAAATTGAAACTCAATATGTGCGTGTTATTTCAATGGTTTGAAAGTTCGCTGTGTATTGCTAAATATTAAGCATACTCACATACACATCCGGAGATGAGAAAGCATTTCAATCTCAAGTTGTTTAACATTTAATTGACTTTCCAAATTCTCTCTGTTAAACCAATTGTCATTGGTCAATTGCAATACCAGAACAATGGTCGATGTGTCATCCCATCCCCATTGGTCGTTTTGTTGTGATTGTAACCAGAGCGAGGCATTCTTAT